ATATTATTGCTTAAAAAATATTAATTAAATTATACACTAATAATTGTAATAGATTTTTATTAAAATAATTTTGATTTCAAAACTATAGGTCTATGTGTTTAAAATCAATCTAAAGTTTTTTTTATAAATATCAAACATTAGATTATTATACTATATATATATTGCAAAATTAATAATAATAATTGATTGAATAGTAATAATATTTTTTAAATTGTTTTTTTGCTTTATTAGACAAACAATCACCGAAAACCCGGTCAGAGGTATTTACGGCAACCACTTGGTCGCCAAATATGGCCCGACGTAACAAACATATGGTTAATAATACATATAAAACCGATATTATTGAACTCAATAATATTGATAGTGTTGTCAATTGTTAAATTATAATATATATAATTTTATATACAGTACTTGTAATAATAATAAATTGTTTAATTATAATAACAGTTTATCTATCAATTAATGTCAAACATTACACACACACACAACCAAACAATTTAATTGCTTTATATATATATTTATTGTACTGTATATCATATATATAATAATTGTATTATTAATAAAAATAATTTTTTCATATTAATTGATATATAATAGAAATGTTTTACCAAAAAAGTACTGTATTTTAGACATAATTATAATATAAGGTGAATATTGATATATAACTTCCCGATTACTAAATATTTATAAATATATTTTATTAATGTTTAATTATATTTAACAGAATATATGTAAAACTAATTTTTTTTATTTGTTGTATTGTACAGTAAATTATATTTATTGTTTTTTAAAGTAATGTAATTTATTTATCAAAAAAACTAATTGTAATAACAAATAAAATAACTTATTTCGACATTTCAAATATTACTGATAAAAAAATATATAAATTAATTAAATATTAGTTTTTAATCGATTAATAATTTTATCTGAATTATTATAATTTATAAAATTGTTTTGTTTAGTCAATCAATTATTATTTTAAATATTAACATAAATATCTAATTTATATCTAATAAAAATATATAAAAAACAAAGTTTTGGATTTAAAAGATTTTCATACAATATAAAGCTTATAAAAAAATAACAATTTATTATTTGATTTCTAAAGTTTATAAAATAAAAAGTATATTTGTTTATATATATATATATAAATTATTTATACATTTTATTTATACTGTATCTCCTAGGGTTAAATATAACACATAAGTTATAGTTTATTTATTTTTTAAATTTTTTTGAATTTATAAAATGTTTATATGTTTAGCTATTCAATAGTAAAAAATTATTTTTTTTATAAAAATATTCACAACTATCTTATATCTTAAGGTATTTCAAACTTTATAATATTTTAAAATGAAATAAACTTTTTTTTAAAAAAAATAAAAATAAAATAAAATGTTGTGAAAATTTACGTCATACCATAAATAATAATAATAATAATAATAATAATAATAATAATAATGATAACTATTTCAACTATTTTTTTAGCAAAATAATATAAAATGTGTCATACAATGATAAATTAAACAATAAAAATTTGTTTATTTGATTTTTATTTTCATAAAGTAGTGTAAATATTTTTTTTGTGATTGATGATAAATTATATACAAAATATAATTTAAATATTAAAAAGTAATAATTTTTCTATTTTTTAAAAAAAAATTTTGAAAAAAATTATCATTAAGCACTATATATATATATACTGTATACAGTATATACTTTATATATATACTGTATATATACTTTATATATATATACTGAATATATACTTTATATATATACTGAATATATTCTTTATATATATATATACACTGTATATATACTTTATATATATACTGAATATATTTATATATCATAATATTTTTATATATCAATTTATATATATATATATATTTATAAGCTAACAGAAAATATAAGTTTATAATTTTATTTAATCGGATCAGAAATAATTAATGTTTCAATATTTTTTTATGAATTATATTTGTCGACAAATTAATCTATATATATATAAAAGTTATTTTTATATATATACCTATTTATATATTTTGTCAATAATATGGAAAACATAAAAGTTTTTAAAAATATTATTTGTTAAAACATAATATTTTTTTTAAGTGGAAATTATTCACAATAAATAACTATACATTTGATTATTGTTAAGTTATCGCAATATATATATAATTGTTTATCAATACAATATACATCTATAATAATATTTATAGCAAATTTATTTATTACAATTTAAATTTATATAAGATCGACAAATGATTTATTGACTAAAAAAAGTATTGTTGTTGTTTGAATCTTAAAAAACAATTTTAACAATTTTACTCTGAGCACCGGTAGCTATTTTTAAATGCTAACTGTGCAAAATCTTCTATATAAATATATGTATGATCAATAATTTTATTTATAAAAATAAAAATATTTTATTATACTTTACTGTTGTTTATATTATAACACATATACACACACACACAGAATATTCTGTACATTAATTTTGATAAACTATTTTAGATCTATACTATATATATATATACTGTATACTGTATTATATGTCAAGTGTATAAAAAATATCTATAATATTTGTTGTTTATTTATTTAATAAGAAATTTATTTAATAAATATGTCAAAAAATATTATTTAAAACAAAATGATTGTTTTTCAAATATTTATTTTTATTTATTAACTATTTTTTAGATATAAATATATATAGATAGATATTTAGATATATATATATGTAGTAATCATTTTTATGAGTTAATCTATTTTAATTTTACAGTATAATACATTATTATTTAAATATATATATTTAAATAATAACTATTAAATATTTATATTTTATTTTTAGATATAATGCTAGGAGTTCATTGTATTATGAATGTGTTCAAAACTAATTGTAAATACCATAACAAAAAAAACTTATTAATCTATAAATAATTTTTTTAAATAATAATAATAATAACTATTGTATTGTATATTAACAGATATTTGTACCTGTATTTTATATATATATATTATGTATATACAATACGATTAGATACTATATTTGTATAATTTGTTTGATAGTAAAATATATTAAAATTAATAATACTAATAATATAAAAAATTATATTTAAATAATTTTATAATGCAACTAATTTATAAAATAAAAAATAATTATTTTTAAAGTTATTTTTTTTGGTTTTTTTTAATACAAATACAAAATACAAATATAGTATATTTTATTTTTTAAAAAAATTACATGACTTGTAAAATATAATAATAAACCCACGCGTTTTAAATTAATTATTAGCAAACAAATAAATTAAAAATTAAATTTTCTATAAATAATTTTAACTATTATTTTATAGTATTTTTTATATAAACGAAAACAAAATAATTATATAAATTATTTTACTTTAAATTATAATTAATAAAAATACAATTATTTATTTTTTGTAAATCAATTTATTAGATAAAAAATAAATCTTAATAAAATTAATAGATTTACGTATTAAATAAAAAATAATTAATATTATAAAATGTCATAATATTAAAAAGTACAATAATTTGTATATTAATATACACATCAATTTAGGCCAATTATATAGATTATAATATATAAATAAATTCATCAAACTTTGTATTTTTACTTAATATGAAATTTGGACATAAAATTCAAATTTTATTCAAAAAATATGACTTTTTTTCTAAAAATTCCCATTTATTCCAAAAATATGACATTTTTCCTAAATATTCCCATTTATTCCAAAAATATGACATTTTTCCTAAATATTCCCATTTATTCCAAAAATATGACATTTTTCCTAAATATTCCCATTTATTCCAAAAATATGACATTTTTCCTAAATATTCCCATTTATTCCAAAAATATGACATTTTTCCTAAATATTCCCTTTTATTCCAAAAATATGACATTTTTCCTAAATATTCCCATTTATTCCAAAAATATGACATTTTTCCTAAAAATTCCCATTTATTCCAAAATATGTCATTTTTCCTAAATATTCCCATTTATTCCAAAAATATGACATTTTTCCTAAATATTCCCATTTATTCCAAAAAAATCACTTTTTTAGTAAAAAAAACTAGTTAAGAATGCTAGAAAGCATTATTAGAAAAAAAACTTTGATGGCATAAAATATTATCTTAGCAAATTAATTGTCAGTTGATTTTAGTCATATTGTCAAATGACTCAGTATGATAAAATAAACTCAACTTTAGTCATGTAAAGTATCAAATGATTAAGTATGACAAAATAAACTCAACTTTAGTCATGTAAAGTATCAAATGATTAAGTATGACATAATAAACTCAACTTTAGTCATGTAAAGTATCAAATGATTAGGTATGACATAATAAACTCAACTTTAGTCATGTAAAGTATCAAATGATTAGGTATGACATAATAAACTCGACTATAGACATGTAGGGTATCAGATGAGTCGGTATGACAAAATACACAGCTAAAATCATACTTTTGCCGCCATTTTTTTAAAAAATAAAATAACTTTTATCTATTATATCTTATTTTTGATGCTCTATACAATTCTAAATGTTTTTAAAAATTTTTTGACTTTGGCCGCCATTTTCTCTATGTTCACGAAGAGATATCAAAATTTTAATGCATATTTTTATGCTTGTTTTTGATGCTTTATTCAAATCTATACTTTAAAAAAATTTTCTTAAAATTTTCTTTACTTTGACCGCCATTTTGTCTATGTTCCCGAAGAGATATCAAAATTTTAATTAAACTTTTCAATACATTATTAGTAGTCCTCTAACCGAATCTGAAGTCAGAATTTCAAAATTCGCAAAATGAAATGCTACAGACACACACACACAAAAGGCTCGTATAGATTTCAGAAAACAAAACTTTTTCAAAGTTTTTTTTGAAAATACACTTTTATTGCAACAGAAAAAAGTTATTATAATAAATACAAACTAAACGTTATTTTTTTATTTAAAAGCAAACAAACAGTTTGTTTATTATTATTATTATTATTACTGTTAGTATAGACACGTGTTTTTTGATTGATAAATGATTGTCATTATCATCGACGCGGTGACCACTGACTGACCATCACTAAGAAAGTCTCGCACAACAAACCAACAAAAATGTCGACAACAACAGGACAGACATCGGCGACGGCGGTGGCGACGACAGCCGTCAATTGGCGCGAAAGACATCAACAGATCCGCGAATGGAAGCGCCAGAAAAAGGCGGACAAACAACGAAAACTGTTGGCCAAAACTGGTGCCGTCGTCGACGACGACGGAGCCGCCGATACTACTAATGGTGTGACCACTAATGATGCGACAACAGACACGACGGCAGCGGCGTCGGCGTCCGAGTCTATGGATATTACGACTACTGGCGCCGAAACATCGACAACGACCACCGATTCGGGCCGCCAATGGACGGCCAGTATTGCCGTACCGTTTAGTATTGTCGAGAATGCCCAGTCGGCCGAACTGAAAGCTTATTTGATTGGTCAGATCGCCCGATCGTTGGTTGTATTCAATATCGACGAAATTGTCGTCTTTGACGAATACTGTTCACAACAGCCGCCGATTACGTAAGTCATAGATTAATGGTCACTATCGTCAGTGGTCACCAATTGATTGATTCATTCAGTGTTTGTCTTATAGCGATTCCACTGACAATAGTCTACAGTATGACAAACGCCGGTCAGCGATGGTTCAGATGATCCGTATATTGCAATACCTCGAGTGTCCGCAATATTTACGGAAATATCTGTTTCCTTTGCAAAAAGATCTTCAATACGCCGGACTATGCAATCCATTGGATTCGACACATCATTTGAAAACAGCGGACACAGATTGCCGCTATCGTGAAGGTGTGGTCACCAATAAGCCGGCACAGGAGGGCCGCGGATCGCACGTGTATATTGGTCTACAACGTGACGTACAGATAGATAGATCGCTTCGACCGAACGTACGGGTAACGGTCCGATTGGCCGACAATTGTGATCTCCGGCGTAGTAAACGGCTGAAAGGTGTGGCCGTATCGCCGGACGAACCCCGCGAACTTGCCGGTCTGTACTGGGGTTATCAGATACGGGTGGCCAAATCGTTGTCGGCAGTCTTTGGCGAATCGCCGTACGCTGGCGGCTACGATCTGACCATCGGTACGTCGGACAGGGGCGACAATGTGGACAAACACTTGAGACAATTGCCTAAACGGTTCAATCATTTGTTGGTAGTGTTTGGCGGATTGAAAGGTATCGAAGCGGCTCACGATTCAGATGAATCGTTGTCCAGTGTTGAGGACACTCGCGATCTGTTTGACCACTATTTGAATACCTGTCCCAATCAGGGATCCAATACTATCAGGACAGAGGTATGTATTTATTAACAATAAAATCAAAATGTCTTACAATTGTTTCGATTAATTAAAAACATTTATTTTTGTTTGTTTGTGTTATTCGCAAATAGGAAGCAATTTTGATAACATTGTCAGCACTGAGGAAACGGCTTCTCCGATGAATAACAAGAAATCAATTTTTTTAAATACAATTAGTTTTAAAATATATTTTTTAATAATAATAAGTTAATTACTGTTTGATTAAGAAGAATATATATTTGATTAGATTATATTTATCAATACATATACAGTATATATGAGTTTAAATGTTATCTATATTTCTAAATCATATTATTATTTTATTATAAAAAAAATATTGTAATCATATATATATATGTTATCATAAAAAAATTAAATCATACTTTAAATACCGGTATATATATTAATTAATTAAAACATTAAAAAAATCGATTATAGATTACTATATCATATTAGAGATTATATAAATTTATTATATACTGTAAATGATATATAATTTTTTTTTGAACTGTATATTCAATATTCAATTTTTTCTTTTGGTTAAACAAACTGTTTATCCGTATTGAGAAACGATTCGTTATTTTCATCCAAAGATGAATTACATTTGATTTCGTTGAGAATGAAGTCAAGAGTCGAGTCATTGGCTGAGACATTGGCCGAAAACGGAGACGAAAATCGTTTAGTTGATACATATTTCGGTGATGACCGCCGCCGCCGCCGTAATGGTGTGTTCGATAAGCGTTTGGCCGAAAATCTTGTTAACGGAGTCTTCAAAGGTTTCAATGAAGACATTGTTGTCGTCGTCGACGGTAGCGACTGCGGTGAGTTGAGGTCGATCAACGACATTGTAATTTCACAATTACCCGTAGTATTCATAATTTCCCGATCGCTACCAATCAAGTCGTTGTCCTGTTTAGATGTTGTCGTCGCCGACGGTAGCGGCGAGTTCAGGTCAATCAACGACATTGTAATTTCACAATTACCCTTACTATACATATTTTCCCGATCGCCACCAATCAAGTCGTTGTCCTGTTTAGATATGGTGGACACGTTGTTGTTGGCCATCGATGTTGCCGTTTCGTTGGCCATCGATGTTGCCGTTTCGTTGGCCATCGATGTTGCCGTTTCGTTGGCCATCGATGTTGCCGTTTCGTTGGCCATCGATGTTGCCGTTTCGTTGGCCATCGATGTTGCCGTTTCGTTGGCCATCGATGTTGCCGTTTCGTTGGCCATCGATGTTGCCGATTCGTTGGCCATCGATGTTGCCGTTTCGTTGGCCATCGATGTTGCCGTTTCGTTGGCCATCGATGTTGCCGTTTCGTTGGCCATCGATGTTGCCGTTTCGTTGGCCATCGATGTTGCCGTTTCGTTGGCCATCGATGTTGCCGTTTCGTTGGCCATCGATGTTGCCGTTTCGTTGGCCATCGATGTTGCCGTTTCGTTGGCCATCGATGTTGCCGTTTCGTTGGCCATCGATGTTGCCGTTTCGTTGGCCATCGATGTTGCCGTTTCGTTGGCCATCGATGTTGCCGTTTCGTTGGCCATCGATGTTGCCGTTTCGTTGGGCGAACCGAGCGACGAAACTACAGCCGAATAATCAATGTCCGAAATGTTAGTTAGAAATGTAGTTTCGGTGTCCATCGATTCGTCCAATTCGGCCACCGATTGCTGCTGTTGTTGTTGGTCTCGTTGTTGCCGATACAGTTCGGCCACATAGTTGCGCTCCGAGTCGGTAATCCGGCCCCAGAAGACACCATTCTCATCGTCGCAATAGTCGACAGCGTAATCGCTGTAATCAAAAACAAACAAACAAAACAAAATAATTGGTCAACAAATCATCGTCAGCGGCGGCGGTAAACACTTAGAAAATAATTGACTTACAAGTCGTCCGGCGAGTCATAGTCGTCCTCATCGGTGTCGTCCAATTGATGCCAATTGTTGTTGCAGTCGTCAGCGTAAACATCAGAGCCAGAAGACATCGATGTCATATCATTCAATGATATCTTCATTTTGTGGATCAATTTCTGGTGATATTAAAGATATATAATAATAATAATAAAACTGTTTGTGTTTTGTTTGAATTTATTTCAAAACTAATTAATACATAAATATTTAGTAAACATTTAGTAAACACAACAATCGGTTACATATTATTATTATTATTATTATTATTATTATTATTATTTAAAAAAAAATATTTCAATATTTTCAATAACTATCCACTGATTGGTCCATTTGTTTAGCCAATAGAAACATTAATGCAACTTATTGGTTGTCATAGGTAACGCAAAACATTGTATATGTTTTATTTACAGTATATAGATTTAATTTGGAATTATTACATGTATATGTATAGACAAAAACAAAATGCATGTATAATAGTATAGAACACGCCCATCACTGGTATTATATGTGCTATAGTGCGATACATGTCGATACTGTAAAAAACAATGCCTATAATAAACAGTACAATGTTTGTAAAACAATATATGCAGTGTTAACCGAAATATATGACTGTTTTTATATATAATTTTTATAATAAGATAACCCATTATTAACTATATCTATAATAGGTCTAAAACTATTTACAGTAATTACTATGTTTATAAAAATATTTATTTATCTACTATTGTAATTAGACAATTTGTAACTTTTATTCATAATCTATAATCTATATAAAATATATACAATTATTATACTATAAAAAAGGACCAAATGTTTTACAATTAAATAGCAATGAAATACAAGTTTTTTAATAACAAAAACAATAAATATTTTTTTTGATTCATTTATTTGTTTAAAAATATTATTTAAAAAACTTTTCGGTAAATGATTTTACCGACACTATTGTGGCCATAGTTTCGGTCATTATTTTTTTCTACTGTGCTTCGAACCCCTCATTAATAGTCAGCAATGTTTAGGACAGCACTGACAGCCGGACTGGTCGGTATCGGCACCGGTATAGCCGCCGAACGGTATAGACAATCATCGACGACGGGCGTCGATGGTCAACAAGCGGTCAGTGGACACTGCAACCGATTTGCTGCAACGTTGGCCACTGTATTTGCGGCCAAACCGTTTGACACGACCAGCGTAGAGGTCAAGTCGCCGTCGATTGGCAGCGGCGGCGACCCGATATCGCCGTCGGCTATGGATATCGCCAAACAACAAGTAGACACTGAGTTTGCATCGCTGGCCAAGTCGTCGTCGGCCGACGGTAGCGGCAGTCGTTTGGCTGTCATTGCCCGACACGGTTTCCCGTCGTTGGACACCATACGTACGTACGACAACTTTGTCCTGTCGTACGATCGGCGCAATCGTACAGCCAATTGGGTATTGGAGTACATGTCTGGCCATCAGATGTCGGCCGATAACGATAGCGGACATATCGATCGTAAAGGTATCGAGTTTTTCCAAGACTCGACTATTCACGAATACTGGCGTTCGTCTAACGATGACTATCGCCGCAGTGGTTACGATAGAGGACATTTGGCCGCTGCCGGCAATCATCGACACGATAGGCGACTAATGTCCCAGACGTTTGTTTTATCAAATATTAGTCCACAAGTCGGCAAAGGTTTCAATAGGGATGCCTGGAATCGTTTGGAAAAGTATTGCCGATGGCGTGCCCGCCGATCGGACAATACCTGGCTGTGTACGGGACCGTTGTATTTGCCGGCCCGCGGACCTACTGACAGCAAACTCTATGTCAAGTATGAAGTTATCGGCAAAAATCATGTGGCCGTACCGACACATTTTTTCAAAGTTCTGGTCACCGAAACCAATGGCCACTACGATCTCGAAGGCTATGTACTGCCAAACGCTGTTATCGATGACCGATCGTCTATTGAATCGTTTAGAGTACCGATTGATACCATTGAGAGAGCGGCCGGTTTGCTATTCTTTCAGCGCATACCTCGCCAACAGTTTCGTACTATTAATGGAAAAAGTGTTTAATAATTATTAATAATAATAATAACTAATAATTTTTATCTTTTAATTTTAAGATTTAATTTATATTTTGTGTGTTTTTTAGTTTAAATTTATTTATAATCAATTTATGATATTTAAAAAAAAATTATTACTCAGTATTGAGATTATTTTTTATCATAAATTTCAATCATTTAATTTTTTTTAAATAATATTATTTTACATGTATTTTAGTATTTTTTTAAAGCCAAATATTTACTGTATATTACCGTACGATATGTTTTATGTTTGTATGAAAACATTTGCTCAGAAAATTAAGTGATAAATCAAAAAACAAAAAAAAAACTTTTTGTAAAATAAAATTTAAATTATGAATTAAATATTTAAATTAAGTTTATCTATAATATTATTGTTAATAATAATACTAATAGTAATAGAGTAGTAGACATACCATAGTTACCATAGTTTTATGGCCACAATTATCGGCCAAACGGTTGGCCATCCATGCGAACAGATCGTCCAAATTGATGTCACACTTGCCGGACGTTTCCATTACAACTGCACGATATTGTTTGGCAAACTCCAGTGCCTCTACTCTGCTGACAGCCCGTAGCCATCGACCGGTGTTGGTGTCAGCAGCACCGGTAGGCCCACTGCCGCAGCTGCCGGCGGTTTCAATCAAATCAAGCTTATTGCCCACCAATACGATTACCTGATCACTACTACCACCATCACCAACGGCGGCGGTGTCGGTGGCGGTAGTGGTTTCACCAGAGCGTAACTGTTTGACAATTTCGACGGCCCGCTGATAGCTTGAATAGTTGGTCAGATCGTAGACAACCATAACGGCTGCCGGTGCCCTGGTATAGTACATGGCCATCAATAGCTGATGATATCGGCGGCAACCTGGTGTGTCCCATAGTTCCATAGTGACCAGTTTGTCGTGAAATACTAGTGTACGTACCCGATAGTGGCAACAATTGGTTTTAGTTACTGACTGGTGGTCAGTGTCTAAACGCTGATCGGCGGCACTTGTAGTGTAGCGCCAGTGTAGACACGACTTTCCTACACCAGTGTCGCCCATTAGTACAACACGGAACCGGTATACAGGTATACCCATAACAGTGTCGATAAAATACATAATAATTATATATATATATATATATATATATTGAATTTGAAAATGAAAATGAAAAAATAAATAAATAATTAGTAAATAATTAAGTTTTTAATATTAAAAAACAAAATAATATAGAAACTAGTCTATAATAATAATAATAATAATAGATTGTTGCTATGCATAAAAAATATTTATAAAACAAAAAAAACTTAATAAAAAATTTCTAGCATCAAAAAAAATACATTACAAATTATATTAATGTTATTAGATATTGATTGATGTTATATAATATATATATATATATTATATATTATATATATATCTTAATAAAATAGCAATATATGGATTGAATTATATTGAATAATAAAGTTATCAATTACAGTACAATATATAAATGATATTAAATACGTTACTGTGATATATATATATAAATTTATATACTGTATATATATATACAGTAAAATTAATTGTGTATTAAATAAGTTAATAAATATATAGATATATATATATTGTAGATGATTTCATTTAATACTATATATATATATATAATTTAATATTGATATTTTATTAAGTAAAAACAAATTATATAACATATACACTGTATGTATTAAATAGTTTCAATATAACTGCTAACAGATGATCACAATATTATTATAACTTTTTTCAATATACAGTATATATTTTTTTGCAATTTTAAGTACAAAGATTAGTGCATATATTTTAGCAATAGTATTATAATTATTTTTAAAAAAAAAATAAAATAATAAAAATCTAATAAATTGAAATATAATATCACATAATAACTTGAATTATTATTTTAAATTTTATAGATTATTAGTTATTAGTTACCAGGTGCTCTAAATAAAAATTAATTAAGTAGAAAAAAATATAAGCTATCATATATATTTAATATTTAATAATATAGTTGATATTACTGTATATTAATAATTTGATATATCCGGGAAATTATTGCTAATAAAAATAATAATATCAAAATATATTAAAATTTTCTAAATAAATTTACTTTAAAAATATAATGATGATGATAATAATAATTAAATTCAACAATATTATTGTTTAACTAAGGATCTGATATTTTTTAGTAATAATAATAATATTGTTATTATAATTATATAATAAAATTTTGAACCAATGAAAAAAAAAACAAAAAAAACTTCAATATAGTATTACTATATATCATTATTTATATTATAATTAATATTATCAAAAAATAATAATAAAATAAAATTTAATTCATAATAGTAATTTTTAAAAATTATTTAATATATAATTTATTGTATTTAGTATTATACAGTACAAGTAAAATACTGTATATATACTGGTAAAACATAATAAATTATAACAATATATAATTTATAATATTTATATCAACATTATATTTGAAAAAGATATGATTTATATATACTGTATATATTTTTGTTAAATGATAAAATGACAAATATATAGAGATATATATATATTTAGTTTTTATTTATTAGTTTTTTCTGACAATATTTTTTTATATATAGATATTGTGGATACAATACTAATGTTATTTATTTTAAGTAAGAAATACAACAACGATAAGATCAGAGACATCGAAAAAAATTACAAAATAAAATAATTTTCATTAATAACATAAATATATATATAAATATTAATATTTAATAAAATAGGATTTATATATCAATATATAGATATTTTAAAATTTAAAATTTATTTAATAATAATATTAATAATATTTATTCTTAAGTTGTTTTTTTGTTAGTATTATTTCGTATTATTATTATTATTATTATTAATATTATTGTTGACCAATACGTGTGTTATATATATATATATATTATATAACTTATATACTATCAGTAAATAATAATAATAATAATTAAGAGACACATATCCAGGGATTATTAGATTGTTTTTTATGTTATGTTATATAATCTATATTTTTTATTATTATTTATTTTCTCATTTTGTTTCATTTATTTCATAGTAGAGTTATAACACTCTTAAAAAACGTGACTTTTATCAATTTATTTGAGTAAATATCAAATATTATATATTAATTTTTATTACTAGTATAGTATTATTTTGGAAATTTTATTATTATTATTTGTTATATATACTCACATTGATAAAATTAAATATACTTTAGATATATATATATATATATTTATAAATATTTTAATGTATAACATAACATAATTTTTTTGATACAGTAATATACTATTAGTACAATAATTACTGAATTATAGTTTTTTGTTTAAAATAAACTATTATTACTACAAATCACAACATTTCACAAAAATAAATATACTTTTTATTTATTTATTTATTATTATTATTATTATTATATATCTATATCTATTATGTATACAACATATATGTTTTTTATGTGGATTTACTTTTTTTTATTTAAAAAACAAAACAAACAAACAAAAATAAATAAAATGTTTTTTTAGATCATATGCGGGAGTATTACACTTTCAACAAAAAAAATAAATAAATATTTTTTTTTGTTTTTGTTTTATCATTGTGTGTGTGTGTGTGTGCGTTAAAAAGTTGTTATATAATATGCTATGTATTATGTGTATTATTATTATGATATATAAATTTTATGTGTGATATGAGTGCACACATCTGGTTATCCCTGATATGATGAGACCATCAATAGATATACTCTATATATATATATGCCATCAATAGCTTCTAGGATTGCCAACTCTCTCTCTCTCTCTTTCTCTCAATAAGTTAACAATTTATTTATTGTCTATTATAAAAAAAATAATATTAAAATAAGGATTATTTTTAACCTAAACTTTTGAAAAAAAATTAATAAAAATTAGGGAAAATATATTTTTTGAAAATTATTTTTTTTAAGTTAGCATAAATATTATTATAGATTGTTATTAAATTAAGATAATTAAGTGATTTGTTGACAAAAAAAACCATTATTTGGAAAACTATTAATAATAAAACAATCAATAAAAAATTTAATTTTTAAAACTTTTAATTTAATTTATCCATATTTATTATATATATATGATATTTTTTGTTGTTGGCAATCCTACTACTATTATTGGTGTTGTTGTCATATTTTATTATTATTATTATTATTTGAAACACATAACACATACACACATATATATTGTTAGCTCTCATCACGACTTACTTTAACTTTCAAGACAGTTGTCATCATATTTTTGATATTACAATAGTATACTATATATATATATATATAAATTTGTAATAATAATAATAATATTGAAAAAAGTGTCTATTATTTCACATCATAATATACAATATATCTATATATATGATATGATAAAATCTATTAGGGATTGTTTTAAAGGATAAGGTATTAAATAGTAAAGTATAGTACAGTAGTATATAATCAGGTATTAAATTTAGTATTGAATTGAAACAAAAAAAAAATAACATTACATTAATAATATCGATATTAAATTTTGTTTTGTTTTTTCACAAAAATATCTTTAGTATTAAATATTGATAGTAATAGTAATAAAAAATAATAATACTGATATTATATGTAATCAACAAACTAACAGATGGTATGTAATGCGCCCCCACCTACAAAAAAAACATTATATCCACCCTAAATACCCACCCTATACACCCACCCACACACACACACACACCTAATCCCCGATGGCTATCATCACTGTACTATAAGATATAACCTAATGGTGCGTTTAAATGTGTCAATTATTTATTTATATTTTTGTTGAAAAAATTATTATTATTACTATTATTTAGTATTATTCAAGTAATTTTTTTAAAAATAATTTATAATTTACAAAAAACACGAAAATTTTTTAATTTAACAACAAAATAGTTATTTATATATATATTTATATGATAGACAAACATAAAAATTAAGCTATTTTAATTGAATTTAAAATTTTAATTAATTAATTAATCAAAAAAGTAAGTATGTATTGAATGTTTGTTTTTTTGTGAATGAATTTTTTTTGTTGAATTAAATAAATCGGTGGTCAGTTAGTAGTAGTAGTAGTAGTGTTTCGGTAATGTGACCACCAATTTGTCGCTGTTGTTTAGCCGATACGGGCCTTAAAAAATACATTATTAGGCGATGAGTTACCGGGTCCGCCGTGATGTATGGCAATCGGTTTGGCGTAAGTGATGTCTACGGGACCGACACACGACTGGGGGTCGGAAAAATAGTAGCACAGCTTTCGGGGGGCCATTCGGTGGCGTTTGATTAGCTGACAGCATAGGCCGCGGCCAGAGTCGCACTCGGAGCTGGTCTGGCATTCATTATCTAAAAAAAATAAATAATTTTGTGGATAATAGTTAATATAAATATATATTAATAATAATAATAATATTTTTAAAAAAAATAATTAAATTATAATGTCATATATGTTATTTACAAAACAAATTAAACAAACAATTATAAGTTAGTTAGTATTTATACTAATATATATATTGTATTAAATTGTTGATAATTATCATATAAATAGATAAATAAATAATTTGTTTTATCAAATAGCAAATCAAATATATAACTTATATATATAATATAAGTGAGATTATTATACAATTGTATTATTTATATATATATATGGCTATCCCAGTGCTACTATCAGTCCAATAATAATAATAATAAAGTGTACTAATGGACAGATGATGTCATTTTGAAAATTTAATGATAATTATGATAATAATACCAAATATCAAAACTACCCAAAAAAAAAAACTGCATCAAAATTGTTTAGTAAAAAAATAATACTATGTAATTGTGATTTTTTTCATTATTATTTATTTATTTATTTTTTGATTAACATCATTATTTTTATAGTACAGTATCATTAATACTAAATATATACAGTATATACTATTGAATAATAATACAGTTATATAAACTTAATATATATATATATATATATATATATATATATATATATATATACTGTACTAGTTTAATATCATTATCATATAGATGTATAAATTATAGGTAATTCCTCAAAAAAAATTTTTGCGATTATCATCATTGATGTTAGTATTGGTAATTTTACGCAATTTTTACCGCAATTTTATTTCAAAATTGCTTTCAAAAATTGATTTCATGAGGAGAATATTGTATATAATAATAATAATGAAAATTTTTTGATATTGCTAAAAAACAAAATGTTTGAATCTATAAATTTTAAAATAAATTTACAGTATATATTTTTTCAATATTTTTAACAAGATTTTTTTTTGTTTAGATGATGGCTAATTTATAGTCAGCATAATTATAATTTTTAAAATTTTTTTATACATATTTAAAAAAATCATATATTAAGAAATTGTTTTAATACAAAATTTTGTTGTTAATTTTTTAAAAAAAAATTATAGATATGGTGACTCTATGTTTTAATTGAAATTTTACGCAATTTTTCTCTATAATTAATTTACGCATTTTTCACATCACTAATTGTCGTTATGATAGACAATACTATAGTTCCTCATTCAATGCGACATAACTGTGCTCTCACTGATCATAATATACAGTACAATACAATACAATAACAATTTTATATATATATTTATACACAGATTTCTATCATTAGTTTATATATAATGAATTTATATGTTATGTAAGCTCTTTATGTTATAAATATAATATATATATATATATATATATATATATATATATATATATATATATAGGGTTAACAATGAGATTAACAATACCTATAATAGTTTTACAAACACACAAACACACACACAGTATACTCAATATTGGGATTACTGTCTAAATTGTTGTATAACTACAGTATATTTGATATATAAATACAATATGACACATACAATATGTATTTGCAAAAAAAAATATAGTTATTTTTGTTATTAATTTATATTATAAGTGAGTAAAGAAATAAAGAAAGAAAGAGAGAGAGAGAGAGAGATAATTAGTGACATAACTGTATTGTTTTTTCATCATTTCTCGACCACCATTACCGGCACCGGCACCGCCACCGACACCAGCAGCCGATTGACATACACGTCGGCCGCGAACCTGATAGAGAGCCGACGGGTTTTGGGCATAGTTGACGTCCGATACCCGACAATTGAGACCCGGTTCGCAATCGTCGTCCGTCTGACACGAGTCACCCTCACTGACCCCGTATATCGGTAGACATGTGCCCACAACTGTTAAATAATTAGATAATTAATAATAATATTAGAAATAAATTAATTATTAATTAAACAAAAAATTTATTAATTAAATAAATATTAGTTATAAATAAAGCTTATAATGTATATATAAATTATTTTCGCTGAATTTCGCAATTAAAATATACTATTGAATATAATATAAATAAAATCGTTATTTTGTAAATTCAAATATTTATTTTGAATAAATTACTAAAAGTTATCTATTTGTAAATAAAATATTTTTAATAAAAATTAATATTTAAAAAATAAATTATTATTCAAAACTGATTCAAACAACTTGTTGTTGTTGTCGTAGAATAAAATTAATTAATTAAACATAACATTACATACATATTAGATATTAAAATTAGTTTTATTTAAAAAATATTTGTTTAATATTTAATATAATAGTTAATTTTAGAAACTATTTTACGTCAATAATTAATTAATTAAATAAATTTTCATTAAAAATATTTTTAATTACTATTTATTAAGAATAATAACTGTTTTTTAAGTATTATTATTATTATTATTATTAAATATTTAAAATAAAATCTCTAAACTAATAGAAATTGTATTTAAGTTTTTTGTTAATTAAACTAACATTAAATAAATAAAAAGCACAATAAATAATACTATAGTTGATATATATACTGTAGAGTATATATAATAAATAAAAATAATTAGTTTATTTGTAATGTTTTATATACAACAATAAACTTTATAACTTACAGTATATATACAGTATATATATGAAAAAATAGATACAATATAAAGTTTCCTAACAAAAAAAATATAGATTTGATATATTATTTATTTAACTAACACACACACACACGCTGTTTTATAGTGCAAGTTAATTGCCCAGTGCCCAAATGCACCTACTGATAAAAAAACTACCAGTTCCTATCATAGATATACAGTAGTATACAATATATATGATACGGTAGTTTATATTACACTTGATACTGTTAAATTGTTTGCTTGAATTTATTGTGTGATTGTTTTTTTAATACCCAGAATATTCTGTATCTATATCTATATATATATACCGGTATGTGTCTTATCTACTAACCAGTTATATACTAAGTTTAGTTAATGTTGTTTATATTGAAAACACATACACACACATATATATATATATATATATATACATTTTTGAGGGTATAATTTAGTCAGTGAAAAAAAACAACTAAACCATACATTTGTGATAAAAAAAACCCTACAGTGATAACCAATTGCCAGTGACATGAATGGCCTCATAAAAAAACGGTAGCATTTTTATGTCTGTGTGTGTATGTGTGTGTGTGTGTGTGTGTGTGTGTGTGTGTGTGTATGTGTATGTATGCCCAATGAAAAACAATTAAATTGATTTTTTTCTGTTACAGTTTATCCCAAATATCTATTGCCAGTAAAATAACGAAAAGAAAAAAAACATTTTTACTTAAAAAAAGCAATAATAATAACACAAAAAACAACAGTTATTTTTGTTGTTGTTGTTGTTATTGGTCTTAACTATCAAATGTGATACCGCTTTGATGTATAATAACGCCTACATACACACACACACACACACACAATATAAATATATTTAATGATACAAAATAGTGTAACTAATTAAGTATACATGAAAAAAAATAAAAACTAGCTAATTATATGGATTTAAAGTACATATAAAATATATTTAATAGTATTACTTTGATTATATATATATGTGTGTATGTGTTTGTGTGTGTATGTAATACTATGTATATGTGTATGTATTTGTGTGTGTGTGTATGTTTTAATTATATGTGTTTATGAGTGTGTGTCAAAAAAAAATAATCAAAATTTATATATTAAAAAAACTATTCAAATGTAAAACTATGTAAATATTTAAACTAACGACTTGTTATTATACAGTATATGCGATAATTAGTATACAATTTATTTTTTGAATAACTCTAGTTATTTTCATTAAGATTATATGAAATTAATTACGACAAAAAAATACAACAATTTTTTGTTGTTTTTGATAATATCTCTTTCATAATAATGACATGTTTACTATAAATATTATTGTTTTGAGATAATTATCTTTTTTTACAAAAAAAAAATTTGTAAACTAATAACAAATATTTTTATTATAACACGTTGTATAACATATATATATATATATATATATACTGTATATTAAGTGTGTGTAATTTTTATTTAAAAAAAATGTTTTTAGGCGTTAATTAGTAGTAGTTTTTGACAAAATAAATTATTATATTTTTATATAAATATTTTATATACATTTATAATATATATTTGTATAAGTTCTTCAATTGTTTGAATAATCTTTTAATACTGTCTTTATAATTATATCCCAAAAAATATTATTTTATTATTTTGTACTTAAAAATCTGTACAAAATAATAATAATAATAATGAAATTATTAACTAAATCTCTTTTCTCAATTTATTCAAACATAACACACACACACACACACATACACACATATACATACACACATATACATACACACATATACATACACACATATACATACACACAGATACATACACACATATACATACACACATATACATACACACATATACATACACACATATACATACACACATATACATACACACATATACATACACACATATACATACACACATATACATACACACATATACATACACACATATACATACACACATATACACATTTATAATATATACAAATTATAGTGACAAATAAAATTTCGTATTAAAAGCGCTTATTTTATAGCAAAACAAATTCAATGCTGGTATTGAAAAAATATTTATTATTATTATTTCATTATTAACTATAGGTATAGTAACCAAAATTTATACCAGAATATTCTGTATGCATATACAGCTCTAAACTATTATTATTATTATTATTATCATATAATTCTTTTAGGCCTAATATTAGCTTTTTATACAAATTTATAGATAAACTATTAGATAATACATAGAATATTCTATTAAAATTTTTTTATTTTTTGAGACTATAAGAAGCTTAAAGATTTTATATATATTTTTTGGTGAATAATATAAATCTTATTTTTTTCCTCAAAAAAGATATATACATTATATATACGGTTTATATATATATATATATATACTGTATATATATATTATAAAATAGATATAGATTTTTGTTATTTAATATTAACTAGTAGATTTTTTTTGGTTATATTATTTATTTATCTATGACTATACAATTTAGTTTAGTATTCAAAATACAAAACACATTGTAGAGAGTTTACTGTATTTTATTATATATATTATATAAATATATTATATTTACTTTTTTACTTTACTTTAAATGTCACTGGTACGTTTATCCATACAAATGAGGTTGGATATATATATATATATATATAGTAAAATAGGATAAAAATAAATCTACTAAAATAATAATGTAGTTTTTTTAAAAAGTAGTATATTTAGTAAAACAATAAAATGGCTAATAATTTATTATGTTTATTTTATTATTTTATTATTTTTTGCTAACTTAAAATAAATAAAATCACTTTTTTACTATAATCTATTTTTATAATGTCAGTATTATCTAATAGTGTAATAATAATTTTTATTATAATTCAATCTTATCATTTTATATTAAAAATCAATTAAATATTTTGTATTGAATATTATTAAAATCTCAATTATAGTTTTTAAATATAATTATATATTAGTAATAAAACTATACAAGTTTAGACATAAATATAATATAATAATATAAACCAAATAAAAAAAATAACATTTTACAAAAATATTTGATAAAAACACTTATTTGTTATGTAAAAATTTTGAAATATCATATCTAATCAATAATAATAATAATAAAAATAAAAAACTAAATCTTTTAAAATAAAATTTTGCAAAAATTTTTTTTGATTTATTATTCTATACATTATTTTTTTTACTATTATATTATTAAATATGAAAATATTTTGTATGCAAATATTTTTACAATTGAACAACAATAACAACAATAAAATAAATTTATTTACACACAATAACAATATTGATATATTGTTACTTTTAAATTTAAGCCTTTAATACAATATATTGTAGTATACTTGAAATATAAATAAAAACAAAAAAACACATCATTATATATACTGATATATACATTAAAAATAACAAAAATTTGTATACAATTATTGGTAAATATCAAAGATATTGTATTTATTGAAGAGTTAGTGATGATACTAATATTATACTGATATATATATACACTGATATTATATATATATACAGTAATAACAAACTTTATATACAGTACAGTACTATATATATAAAAGTTGTGGTATTTTTGTATAATGTTTTTTTGATATTTGTTTTTTTGTGCTGACAACACAACTACATGTTTGCTATTATACAGTATATTCTATACATATATACAGTATATATATACTGTACTGAATTATACAGACACCTAAAGACAACTTTCCCCACAAAATAAATAAAAAAACTATTCATTAATGAGAATATCAGAGATGATATGTATGTGTTTTTACTGTATTTTATATACAATACAATACTATACTATATATAAATTGTAATAATCTATTAGTTTTTTTTGTATATTATGTACAGTATAATTATCATAGTATTATTATTATTATTATTATTATTCAATCAGTTAGTTTGAATCAAAACATAGTAAATCAATATATATATACAGTAAATATTTTAATTAGAAATTTTTGTTTTATTATATATATATATAAGACAATTCCCATAATCAAAATTCATGTCATATATACAGTACAATAATAAAAAAAACAATGTCATCAAAAAAATAAACCCTAAATAATAGCTAATTTTTTGTTTAAATAAATTATATACCGTATAAACAAAATATTATCAATAATATTTAGTTGTTATATAAAATACAATAAATAATATAATTTTTGTTTTTCGTTGACTAAACTAAACTAATAATATACTATAGTGTAATTTTATTATTTTTATTTAGCTATAGTATAGCTGCTATACTAACTATATATAAAAAAGGTCAATTGATTAATTTAATTTATAATATTGATATATACTATATAAATATATTCAACAAATAATAAAACGATGATTTTGTATAATTTTAACTTTTTGTTTGTTTGTTTGTTTTGTTTGTTTTATGATTTATTGTCGGTGTTTTTTTGAAATAATTTTTTTACTTGATTTAACTATATATTTAACTTAATTATTAATCATGACCTTAATTTTTTTTAGAGATGTATAATAAAAATAATAAAATATTATTATTATTGATAATAATGATAACTATATAGTTGATTCAGATATTTTACAAAAAAATAAATAAAATGATATATATATTGATAATAATCTAATTTAGACAATATTTCTAGCGATTTTTGGATTTATAAATTTAGGAAATATATATATATATATTGTTAGTTTGTTTGTTTGATATGTGTGTTTGATATTTCAATTTATAGCATCAAACTATATACAGTATATATATATTATACACACACACACACACACACACACACACACACACACACACACACACACACACACACACACACACACACACACACACACACACACACACACACACACACACACACACATACATACATACATACATACATACATACATACATACATACATACATACATACATACATACAATAGTCAATAAAATATTTCAATTGCAAATAATATGATTATTTTAGCATTTATTTAGTGTGTCTTTTTTGTTGTTGTTGTTGTTGTTGTTGTTGTTGTTGTTGTATAAGTTATTTGTCTGATTTTCGTGATGTATTGATTACATAATATATTATTATAAGCAAAATAGTTACTACCGGTATATTTATACAGTATATATAAATAAATATTTCTAAATAAATTTATATATCAAAGTTATAAGAGTTTCTTATTATTTAGTATTACAGTACTTGTATATTATATACTGTATATAACTTTATATACAGTATATACAAAAAAATAAGACATAAATTAATGAATTATATTGTATATAATGTGACATTATTAATGTCTATATAATAAATTAAACGATAAATAAATAAATATAATTAATTGACTTCTACTGTACAATTTTTTTTAGTATTATTTATTATTATTATTAATAGCAGATTAATTAATTATAATTAAATTAAAACAAATAATAGCTATAGCTTACTATTAATAAGTAAATAAAATAAAATAAATTATTTAGTATTTGTTTGCAAAACACTTAATAATAATAATAATAATATACATAACTATTATATGATTTATATTTTGTTATCTGTTTTCTGTTTACTTACTAAATATCAATATATAAATTAATAATAAATCTTAATCTCAAAATACTTATACATATAATCTTTCATATTATCGTATATAATATGATAAATAATAAAAATGTCAAATAAAAAAAACATATTTTTGTTTATGATTTAATTTATATTATTAATTACAAATACAATAATATGTTATTTCTAAGAAATATTATACTAAAAAAAAAACTAAATAAATTACTAGACTATAAGTAACAAAAAAAATGTATTTTACATTAAGTAATAATAATAATAATTGTCGACTATTTTATTACATTGTAAACAATATTTAATTTATTAATTAATTAAAACCTATACTATTTATTCAACAAAAAAACAACAACATTTAATGATATATATATCATATATAATATATTTATAGTAAATGTTTTGTTTAGTTGTCTCCCACACCACTACCCCTACCGAACCCCTACCGAACCCCTACCGAACCCCTACCCAACCATTTCAAAATAAATTCAATATTAATATATTAATATATATATATATATATAACTTACTGCCGTCAACATCGACACAGACACTGCCGGGACAGCACTGGTCGCTTTGGACGCATCGCCTACCGGTGCACTTGTCCTGACTCTCGGCCAACAGTGCCTCCAATTCCTGGTCGTCGGGTTTCCTGTTATTGTTGTTTTCGCTCTGTTAGAGACACAAAAAATTTAATCATAAATAATAATAATAACAAAATATAATATAATATAATATTACTGAAAATTTTCGAGGAATTACTAGTATTTAATGACTTAAATAATAATATATTTTTTTTAAAAACAAAAAATATCTATTAATTTATAAAATAAAATTCTATTATAATGTATATCTAGTGTTGTCAAAAAAGTGATATTTTTTAATATAATTACAAGAAACTTCTAGAAAGTTTCTTGTAATTAATTTCTGTCTATTGGATCATCATCATGTTAATTTTGTTTTATCTCAATTTTTAGTATATTGTAAAAGTATATTATAATTATTATTATTAATAATAATAATCAAATACCAAAATTTGTCAATTAATAAGAAATAATAAAATTATTAACAAATTTTATAATTACATTATTTTATATATTAATTTTAAATATATAAAAAAATTACATTTGTATAATATTAATGTGTATATTATTTATCAATAATACATAATTACAATAACTTTATATGAAGATCCCATATATATATATATATATATATATATATATATATGTGTGTGTGTGTGTAAATTTATGTATGTATGTGTGTGTATATATATATGTATGTGTGTGTATGTGTGTTGTATGTGTGTGTATATATGTGTGTGTATATATGTGTGTGAATGTGTATAATATACTGTATTTAAATATTCAATAAAAAAATATCAATGTTTATTGATTTGCATAAACATGTCTAATTTCCCAGTCGCCAAATAATCTCAAATAAATATATTTTATAGTAAGAAATATTGTATATTTTCAATTATATAAAAAAAATAATTTATTAATCAATAAAATGTTTATTCATTTGTATGATATTAGCATTTTTTTAAATAGCTAATAGTTATCGATTCATCTGAAATAACATAATATGTTTTTTAACATAATGTTAAAAATAATTTTATGGGATTTTTTTTTTAATTTAAAATTAAAAGTAAAAGTACAGCATATAATATAACTGTCGTAAACTTGTAATGATTATATTATATAGTTTTTTAAAAATATAAAAAAATAATTATTTTTTTAAATAAATTAATTTTCTATCAAAAAAATAATATATTACTCAAAAAGATTATTATTAATATATATTTATTTATTATTCATATACCAGTATATATATATATATATATATATATATATATATGTATGTATATTATAATAATAAATTATATTTTATATTTTATTTTGACATTTAATATGTGTGTGAAATTGTTTTTTATTTAAACAAAAAAAAATAATAAATCTTTTAAAACAATTTACTTAAAACTATTATAATCTAATATTTTTTATAAATATATTTATTATAATACTATTTTGTATTTATAGTCTTTATAGAAAATATATACAATATTTACAATTTGTAAAACAACTATAAAATAAAAACATAATAACTAAAAGAGATTAATGTTTAATATACTGTATATAAATTTATTTATTTAAAAAAAACTTTTTTTATTATTTTAAAAAATATCATTTAATTTAAAGCAAATACATATTTATGATATATTATTAATATTTAAAAAATTATTATAAATTAATTATTAATACTGATATTCATAACCTGTATTTAACATACTATCTATTAGTTAATTAAATAAAAATAAACTCAAATTTCTAATGTTAATTTAATTAAAAACATTTTTTATAGTATTAATATGCATACAAATTAAACTATCCATAAATGAATATTAGTAATAATAATAATAATAATAATAAGAAAAATAATTGAACAATAAATTTGTACAAAAAATAATAATATATTATTAAATAATATAATATTAAATAATAAACTAAATAATAATATTTTAGTTTTTTTTGAATTACAGTACAGTTTCTTATATATATAATATTACAACTAAACAAAAAAAAAGATTTAATTATCTTTAATAATAACTTTATTATAACAAATATAACTTAATAATGTCATATTATATATCATAAAAAATTATAATTTATATGTTTTAACATTTGTGAAAATAAATGTAACTTAAATTAATTCATCCATATAAAAAAAATATAGAAAATGATAATTAAAAACATAAATATGTAATATTTATGATATAGTAATATCTAAGATAAAAATACTAATATTAATAATTACATTGTTTTATTTTTAAATACTACATATTATTATTATTATAATGATAAATATAATAATAACTAAATGTTATATTTTCTATAGTATACTCTAATAAGTAAATTTATATTATATATTATAATAACTAACAAATAATATATATTGTATTTATTGTAAAAAAGTTTTAATTATATATAATATATATACTGTATACTATTGTAGTAAACTAAATATTACTAAAAAAATAATATTAAATTACTAATTATAATAATTATAAAAATTTTTTTTCTAAATATATATTATTTTTTAAAATAATTTTATACTTTAGTAGTAAACACATTAATTAAATATAAATTATATACAGTATATATATAGGTAATACTAACTTTCATATATACATGAATAAATTTATCATCATGGTGAAATATATATATATATATATATATATTTGTATGATAAATTTAGTTTATAGTTTAATGAAATAAACACAACACAAATGTCAAGTAATTATCGTCAACAACAAAAACAACAACAAAAATCAATAAATTAGTAAAAACTTTTTATATATATATATATAGATAATTTGATATAAAATATATAAAACTATACAAATTGCACCTACATCATTTAATTATAGTAATTGATACGTGGGACCTGTATTTGGTTGTTAGTATAATGATTATCTGTATATTGATTTTGTTTGTTTGTTATTTTATTTATTTTATTTTTTTGAAAAAAAATTATTTGTGTCTATGTGTCTGAAGTTATTTATAATACAGATAAACATAATTTTTATTTTTTTTGTAATTATTATTAATATTATTATCATTATTATAAGTTTCTACATATAAAAATTATTGAATAATTAATAAATAATAATCTAAATAAATTATTAACTCATAACTTTAATATATATATATATATATATATATATAGTTTATAGATATTATTAACATAACATAAAAAAGTCTACATCAAAAGTTAAAGTTTTAAAAGTATTATATAAAAAAATATGTAATAAAAATACAATTTTATTTGACTACCACTTTCGTATAAAATAACTAAAAAAATAATATTATATATATAACTTATATACATATGTATATATATATAATACATTAAAATATTTCAATAAATTTAATGTTATGTAAATTATCATTTATTTTTATCAAAAAAAATTTAGCATATGATTATATATATTTTTTAAAAAATATTTTATTTGTTAACTCTATATTTTTTGTTTAACCTTTAACCATTGAATATATTATATATATATGTATATATATAACTATAACAAATAACATACACATTATTATTGTACAGTAGTAAACAATTTTAATAATAATGAATGAATTAAATATATATATATATATATATATATAAAAAATAAATTAAAATTTTAAATATGTATGAATTTTTGATGAATAAATTTTTTTTAGTTTGCATTTAGTATTACTATTACTGTATTGTATTGTATTAACTACTTATTTACATACAGTATGTCTTTTAGTGTATAAAATTAATAATAATAATAATAATCATAATGTTTTTGAATAGAAAATAAGATTTAAATAATATTATTATTTTGAATGAATCGTTGATTTTCTTATTTTACTAATATTAAGATATTATTATATTTTTTGTATTTTGTATTAAAAAAACAGTTTATATTATTTAATGTTATAAATAATTAAATATCTATTTATTAAATGTTTTATTATTAATGAAAAATATATAAAATACAAGAAAATACAATTTCAAATCTTTATTTCAAACAAAAAAATTATATTATAATAAAATGAATATGATTTTTGTTTGTATAGATTTTTATATATTTTTTAAAAATAAATTTATTATTAGACTTTATTTTTTTCGATAATAATAATAATAATATGTTTATCTAATAGACCGTAAAAATACTTGACATTTAATATATATTTTTTTAGTCGCGGGTGTGTAATAAAAGTAAAATTATTTTTCAAATAACTGTAATATTTATTATTATTATATTTTTGTATTAAATTTTTTGTTTTTATATGTATGCAATTTATAATATGTTATTGAATTTATTTTTGTTGTTAATATACTGTATATATATATATATATATTTAGATATCATATTATTTTATGATTATATCCGTGTATTATCTTTAGTATTTTGTTGTTGTTTTTATTTAAATACAAACCTATATATATATATAAATTTATAAACTTAAATATAACAAATAAAAAAAATTAAACGAGTATCACATAAATATTTAGATAATACACACACACAAAATATTATAATTTAATTGCTATCAAAAAAAATTGATAACAATTTTTTTTAGTCAAATAAAATAATTTATGTATTAATGTTATTGTTATGTTATTAAACTATTTTATAAATATTGTATACAAATAGGTTAACAAATAGAGACATAAAAATATATAAAACTTTTTTATACAAAATTTTTATAAATAATTATACTAATAGCAATTTAATAAAAATTAAAAATTGTGTATTAAATTAGAAATAAAAATTCATGCAATTAACATAATTAAATAAAAATACAAAAAATTTAATCTAATTTATTATAAAAATAAAATTGTTTAATTATCAAATATAATTAGTTAGGTATTATTAGATAATATATTAGACAATAATAAATGTTTTAGTATATTAATAAAACTTTTATAATAATAGAAAATTTAATAATTATTTTTAAAATAACAATTTACTTCATATAATAAATCCTTTTTTTAAATTTTTTTCGTTATTAAATTTTAATTGTCTTTGAATTGTTTTAATAATTTCAACAACAAAAAAAATAAATTTTTTAATAAATGATAAATCCATTTATAATAAAGTTTTCATATATTAAAAAAAATTATAAACA